AGAGGTACCCTTCTTCCACTCTTCTCACCTTTCCCTATTCCTGCTCTTATCATCATCAGGCATTCATTCATACTTACCTTTCCAGGATTATCTCAAGGAATCTTTGTCACCCAATATTTGCCACCTTGCTCACCATGGCCCCTACAAACCCATTTGCAGTTTAGACTCCAATGTTCCTAGTGTAACCAAATAGCCTACCATGGCCAGTGCCAACGTATGGGATCAGGGGTGTGCAATCGTGCTGACATCTTATTTAGTTACAAGAGAGGCAAGGATGGAAAAAACTCTAAAGTTGGTTGGTGCTCAAGTCCTGGTTTTTCCCTTACTAGCAATGTGTCAACCAGACTGAACTGGTGTGTAACCTGTGGATGGCCAGAGCCAAACGAGCAGGCTAGAGACAGGAGAGTCAGGAAGCAAATAGAAGTTTAATTTCAAAGCGAAGGAAATGGCTCACAAGCAAAGAGGGAGATTAGACACATGTGCCAAGGCCCTGCCCCTAGTGAGGGAACCTGAGGCAGTGTGGGGAGATCTCAATACTTACACCAATGCCTGCGCAGTGAGCTATAGTCCTGACAATGAGGGGTAACAGCAACAATGTGACAAATTTGATTCATAGCAGGGCTTCATGACCAGAGCTTGTCCGGTGCTTGTCTGAGTTCAGAGAATACCTGGTACTGGTCAAAGCAGTACAATAATTATGTGATTTTGCCAGAGGGTGAGATCATCTAGAGGTGAACGCAAAGGATTGTTGTTATGCCAAGCTCAGAGCACAGCCTGCTTGCTGGACTTAGCTCTGGAAAACAGGATGTTTCCTAATATCTTGACATATGTGACCACAGGTAAATAACTTAATCTCTCATTACCTCAACTTTTAAATCTGTAAAACAGTGATAATACCTGTTCAAGTGGGTTATTGTAAAGAAAGTGACTCTGAAGCACTATATAAATATGGAAAAGGTTTGGATAGATTTCCTAGCTGGACAGAGTCACAGGCAGAGCCAGGCAGCTGCTTCGGCATGGACTTGGAGTGAATGGGCAGACTTGTGAGGCAACCATGACAGTGTAGATGTCCTATGGTGAAAGAGAGTAATTGAGAGAGAGAAAATGGCAAATGTGACTGACATATAGGCATGCCTGTTCCCCTGCCTGGATTAATGCTAGTTGTGATAGGCACCCATGGAGCATTTGAGTAGCGCCCCCTTCCAGTGCTGGAGTAGCAGGAACAGAGAAGGGGCCTAAAACAGACCCCATAGCAGAGTTCCCAGGTCCTGTCGGCCCATGCAGTTGTGACCACGAGTATCACCAGAGTTTCCAAAGTGTTCTAAGTCAGTCATGAACTGTGTATAGCTTCTGCTACACATGCAGAGGATGGAGAGAAATCAATCATAAGAAACTAAAGCAGGGGAGGGGAACATGCGGCCTCGAGGCCACATGTGGCCCTTTAGGTCCTCAAGTGTGGCCCTTTGACTGAAACCAAACTTCACAGAACAAATCCCCTTAATAAAAAGATTTGTTCTATAAAACTTGGACTCAGTCAAAAGGCCTCATGCAAGGACCTAGAAGGCCATATGTGGCCTGGAGGCTGCAGGTTTCCCACCCCTGCACTAAACTTTTAAGTTGTTCTCTCTCCTGCTTCCACACTTTGGCTAGAAGACTGAAAGGATTTCAGCTTAAAAGGGATCCAATGGCATATGCAGTTTGTTTCCTATAATAATTAATGCTTTTGTTTGCATTATACATTTGCTAATGTAATTAAACTGTATATTTATATTATGACTTTTAGTGAAGGTAAGTGAAAAAACATGAAGAAAAAGGAAGGGGAACAGCTCCTAATAGGGGGTAACTGAGTCAGAGATGAACTGATGTATACTATTCCTAGATAAGGGCCCAGGACAATGATAAAATAACCTAGTAGGGGCAATGTGCTGGTTGATTGATAGCCAGTCATACTCCTAGGATCTTGACTGTTTATAGAACCCACAGACTATTACCATTCTTAAATAAGTATAAGCTATCATTATTATATACATGCTAAATTACTCTGAATAATTATTGGTAAGGTTTGATTGTTAATGGTGTTATAAGAGATACTTTTCTGGCTCCTCTGGGAGAGACAGAATGGCCTTGGGTCCCAGAAAATTACAGATCAAAGGGAAACTCAACTGGTAGAGAGAAGAAAAGACAAGGAAAGAACAGATGGTAAAGAGAAAATGTTTGAGTTTGGGCATTAGGAAAGGGCTACTTCACTGGTAGCCAGAGGCACCTGAAGGCATAGCTCATCCTAAAGAAGGAGTAGGTATAGGGACCACCTAAAAGGATAGAATTATAAATTACAGTTGGAAGGGACCTTAGAAAATTCCACTTTCTCATCCCTGAATCTAGTCCCTCCCAAGGCAGAAACTTGAGAGAAACCTGAGCCTCAGAGAGGTCAAATGACTTGTCACCTGTCACACTGTTAGTTGGTAGCAGAGCCCAGGATCAGTCCCTAGTATCAGGTATCAGTCTGCAGGTCCCT